ACACGAGCATCCGATCGGGTTGATAAACAGGGGACATGATGATGACAAGGCTGGAAGGGAATGGTCGGTCAAGAGCAGACACGCTGCTGCACACAATAACTCTTTGCTAATGAAGTGGAGAGAGGCATACCGTAGTACGCCAACGATAACCAGCCACAACATGCCCAGCCCTGTCTTTAAATCGTGGTGGGGGGTGAACACCGCCATGATGCAACGGGTCACTAGTAGTACTCACTAAGTACTGCTGTGCCATAGCCTCAAAGCCATTCACGGTCGCGGGATGTTGCGTGGCCTGCGGGAACACAACCAAACTGACGCTTCACAATGACTGGATCCGCGTTGCTCAGTCATCGGGGAGTGTTTTCCATTTGGACTGGCGGCTGACGACGAAGTTTCTTGGAGATCAGCAGCGCCCAAAAATAGTCGTCCGCCCAGACTGAAAACGGCCTGCCTAAACTTCGTCCTGCGTCTTTCTTCCCCATCTTTCATTATCTCACCGGCTTTTCGTTCATTTGTCCTTCTCTTGACAGCTTGACCGTGTTATTCCCCGTCCTTGTCTGTGTATCTTGGGTGGAAGAATCTCTCGTTACTTTTTTTCCTTTGAACTCCGCTGGAGATAGATAGATCCTTCGTTTCGTTGGATCGTTGGGGGCCATTTGCCGCAGTTGAAAGGCGGTTCCGGGTCAGGGGCATTTCTCTGATTGATTGTTTCAGCCCTGCTTGTTGCCCGCCAAACGTGCCGTCGTCATCTCTGCGAGACGACCCTTGTCAACAAACCCATCCTCTCATTCGCAGAAGAAAAATTAATTTCTACTGTTTACTACGCAACCACACGATCGGCCAGCCAGAAGCTTACCGGACCATCGCTTGCACTCAGCCATCACACTGACCTGATTGACACACGACCTCCTTGTCTGCGCTTTTCGCCCGCCCGGCTGTCCATTCAATATGGCAGCCAACAGCTACTACCATGGCGGTTACAGCAACAATCCGCCATCCTATGAGCAAGCTAATCCTCACTTCGATAACATTCCGACCCCAGGCCATCCTGACTTCCACACACATCCTTACGAGCCCACGGCAGCCGACCCTCAACTTCACCACAGTCAACAATCTCTCGGTTCCGACCAAGCATATGCGGCCGGTGGAAGGCTGAATGACGAGCCCTATTCTGAGAATATTCCGCTGAAGAGTAATCAATATGCAAATGGATCTCCGCCGCCGAACTGGATGCACCAGCCGACTCATTATTCGCCCGCCCCTGAAGATATCGAACCACCGGTCGCTCCGACAGCACGGAGGAACAGGAATAGGAAGAAGGGATTCTTCCAGAAGAAGATCCCGTGGGTAACATATGCGTTTACCTTGGTCCAGATCATCGTGTTCATCGTGGAATTGGTGAAGAATGGTATGTCCGGCTGGCAAAGAGGTCCCTTGCAATCTATCTAACAATTCTGCAGCTCAATTTACAGGCTCTCCTATCGAGACAAAACCATCCTTCAACGTGATGATCGGACCCTCCTCGTACATGCAAATCTACATGGGATCGCGGTACACACCATGCATGAAGAACGTCCCTGGCATTCAGAACGCCAACGAAACAATTCTCTTTTCTTGCCCGAATGCCACCACGTCGGCGACCGAGTGCACACTGTCCGAAGCGTGCGGTTTCAGCGGTGTACCGAACCCTCATCCACACGGATCGCTTGACGACAAACCGGCGCCCAATCAATGGTTCCGGTTTATTATCCCCATGTTCATCCACACCGGGGTCATCCACATCGGCTTCAACCTGATCGTGCAGTTGACTATGGGAGTTGACATGGAGCGGATGATCGGCTGGTGGCGATATTTTCTGGTTTATGTGGCTAGTGGAATTTGGGGCTTTGTTTTGGGCGGCAACTATGCTGGGCAGGGCGAGGCGTCGTGCGGCTGCTCTGGTGCTTTGTTCGGTATCCTCGCTCTTTTCATCTTGGACCTCCTCTATACATGGAAGGACCGCGCTTCTCCTTGGGTGGAGTTGATCATTATGATCCTGGGTATTGCGGTGTCTTTCGTGTTGGGGCTCTTGCCAGGATTGGATAATTTTGCTCACATTGGAGGCTTCATCATGGGGCTGGCTCTGGGCTTGTGTCTTCTTCGGTCGCCTAACGCGCTGCGCGAGAGGATTGGCCTGGCGCGCAACCCGTATGTTGCCATGAGCGGCGGGGCGGGCACTCCCACGCCCGATGACAGCCAGAAGGTGAATACTGGGCCCAGCCTGGTTGAATTCCTCAAGGGACGTCGGACTCGCACCGGGGCAGGCGCCAACAACAACAAGTTGAACCCAGTGAACTTCTTCCGGGGTCGGAAACCACTGTGGTGGGCATGGTGGTTGGTTCGCGCGGGTGCCTTGGTCGCGGTGCTCGTCGGCTTTATCCTTCTGATTGTCGATTTCTACAAGTATCCCAAGTCTAACTGTTCCTGGTGCTACCGGTTGAGTTGTCTGGTAAGTAACGCAATGCTGGTGGAATACGCTCATGCTAACTGTGTCGCAGCCTGTTAATGGATGGTGTAAAGAAGGCCAATTGACGACGACAACGACAACGAAGACATCCTGAGCGACTACATTCCGAAATATTTTCTTTCTTCACTGTGTTATACTCTCTGGTATATGTTTGGTCTGGTTTCTTAAGATATCCTGTCGCATCTGCGGTTATCATATATCGAAGCAGTATCAGCGGCGTTTGGGATACTTGTATCTGGTGCTGTAGTTGCACCAGCGACTCATGTTTATAGCATAGTATGGGATGGAAATCCCAATGATAAATGATTATGATTGCGCGGTAGTGGAGAGTAAATCCTATCAGGCAGTTGTGTTGTGAACAACCAACAGTGCCGAGCCACGATCTAAATATAGGCGCATGTGATCGGCAAACCGTGGCTGTGCGGTACGGTACATGTAACGTAAGAATAATGTGGTGCCTCAGATCGCCAGATCCATCAGTTCCATTCCTTCCCTCCACTTCCGCTCTCCCCGTCATCTCTCATTCCCACTTGACTCCTTTCTAGACTCGTTTGTAGTAGATTGTATCATCCAACTGCTGTACATTCGAGTTGTCACCGCTGCGCTGCTGACACCACACCCTTGTATATTCGGTTATCGCCATGATTTGAATCGTCGCTCGCAACGTGGATGTCATCTCGCTGATACTCCATACTCCATATGACCATGGCAACACTGGCAGCCTCACCTCCATCCTCGCCTTCGTGGCCGAAACGACGTCCGCGGGCCTGGGCTCTCCGCATTGAACGCTACTGCTGCACGGCAGCATCATTCTTCCCTCTGGCATTCGTCTACAGCCTAACGACATGGGCCGTCTGGGTCGAGGCCAGTGTCGGCTTCAAGCCGTCTGAGAGTGCTTGGATCGGTGTGTAACCGTGGTTTCTCATTGTTTCACTCATTTATTTACAGTTCGTGAACCAGGTATTTCAAGCTCCTTCCTCGGAATCATCCTCTACATCGGCCTGAACGCATGCTACACGGTCGCCGTCTTCACCGATCCCGGATCCCCCCTCACTCCCAGCGGCCGCGGTCGACATGAATATAGTGCACTTCCAGTGACCGAACTACCACAATATACCGCCTACACCGTCAGTTCGACCGGTGGATCCCGATTCTGTAAGAAATGCCAGTGCCCCAAACCGGACCGGGCGCACCACTGCTCGACATGCAAGCGCTGCGTGCTGAAGATGGATCACCACTGTCCATGGCTGGCGACATGTGTCGGACTGTACAACTACAAAGCGTTCCTGCTGTTCTTGATATATACGTCGATCTTCTGCTGGGTGGATTTCATCGTCGCGGCGCTGTGGATATGGACGGAAATGCTGGACGACAGTAAATATATCGATGTGGATAAGATGCTGCCGATCAACGTGGTGTTGCTGGCGGTGCTGGGTGGTATTATTGGCCTGGTGCTGTCAGGTTTTACCGTCTGGCATATCAGCCTGGCGTTGCGGGGAATCACGACGATTGAGTGTCTGGAAAAGACCCGGTATGTGTCTCCGTTGCGGAAAGCGCTGGATCGCCACCGCTACGAGAATGTGCTGGGCAGCGAAGGGGGCGACCGAGAAGGCTTTGGTCACCGGCTGCAGGACTACGGAGGGCAGATCCTCGACGCTCACGCGAATGCAATCCCGGGAGTGACGCGGGCCGAAGAGGGAGAGGAACCGACTCCTCCGCCCAGTGTATCACCGTCCGGGATGCGGATGTCACCCGCACAACAGGCATTGTCGCGATCGTACGCCGAGATGGAGCGCCAGCGTGAGCACGACCGGTATCAGAACTACCTGGATGAGGAGGACAGCGAGAAAATGCCGCACGCATTCGACCTAGGATGGCGACGCAATCTGCGACACTTGTTCGGTGACCGTCCGCTGCTGTGGCCAGTGCCGGTGTGTACGACGACAGGCGATGGCTGGCACTGGGAGCCGAGCGCCAAGTTCATGGAGGCGCGCGATCGCGTGCGGCAGCGACGGGAGCGGGAGGCTGCGGAGCAACAGCAATATCAGCGGGACCTGTACCAGCGGAACATGAATAACAGCCATGCCTGGGGTGCATCCGCAGCAGCAAACTGGACGCCGAACCAGCCACTGGATGTGGTGCGCGACCCAGAGCGGCCGAACACGGGCGTGTCGATGAAGACACTGGCGCCGATGTCACCACGGCTGCGGGGACAGGACAGCGAGGGAGAGATGAGCGAAGAGGAGATGCACGGACGAGAGGATGAATGGCGGAGCTGGGATTGATGTGTATCAGTATATACTAGGATGATAATGCTTAAACGCGTAGAACTATTATGAATGATATTAAAATACGGAGTTAATGGAATGCTAAGGACACCTGATTATTAAGGCACGTAAACGTCAGGCCAACTGGCCTATCCGGATCTCCACCTTATCTATATCTCCGAGTACCCATCCCGTCACATCATCAACTATACCTCACTCATTACAACATCCACCATCCACCATCCACCATCCACCACTTTACACACGCCACCTGTCTACCTACGAAAACACCAACCAACGCCGGTGTGACACCACCACCACCAACCCAACCCACCCAACCCAATATAAAAAGCAGACAATGTCCCCCTCCACCCGCCGCCTCCTCAAAGAATCCACAGACCTCCAAACCAACCCATCCCCCTACTTCCACGCGGCCCCAGTATCCGACACCAACCTCTTCGACTGGCACTTCACGCTCCTGGGCCCACCACCACCCTCCCCCTACGCCGGCGGCATCTACCACGGCCGCATCACCCTCCCACCCACATACCCACTCCGCCCCCCGAGCTTCCGATTCCTAACCCCCTCGGGACGATTTGAAGTCAACCGGGAGATCTGTCTCAGTATCTCAGGCCATCATGAGGAGACGTGGCAGCCAGCGTGGGGGATCCGAACGGCGTTGATTGCGCTGCGGAGTTTCATGGATGGAGATGCGAAGGGCCAGGTGGGCGGGTTGGATGTGGCGGATGAGGTGAGGAGGAGGTATGCGAGGGAGAGTAGGATGTGGAGGTGTGAGGGGTGTGAGGGGAGTAAGGGGAGGGGGAATGAGGTGGTTATGAGGGAGTGGTGGGGGGTTTGTAGGGAGAGGGGGGTGGTGGTTGAGGGGGAGGATTTTGAGGGGGTTTTTGGGGGGGAGGATAAAAGTGAGGGTATGGAGGCGGGGAAGAAGGATGGGGATGGGGATGAGGCTGCAGCTGCGGATGCAGGTATAGCTGCAGGTGTGGATACGTCTCAGATCCCTCAAGCAGAGGTACAGGCACAGGCACAGACACAGCAACCCCAACAACAGCAATTACAACATACTCCCCCAGCAACAAGACCTCCACCACCAGTGCCTGCTGCACCAGCTGCTGCTGCTGCTGCTGCAACATCTCAAGATACACCCTGGCTCGACCGAGCCATTATCGGCGTCATCATCGCACTAGCAGCCATGATCCTGCGACGGCTGACGCGTGACATGGACTCGGAGTGATCCTGCTATCCTCTTTACTTATTTCTGTGTTCCACATGAAGCAATGGTGTTTGTTTGGCGTTGGATGGTAATTCATACAGTACCCTGGGTTATTAGGTATAATGGTTATGGTTGTGTATATTAGGTGTTTTGTGTTAGGCTTGCCACAGGTTGTGTTTCTGGTAATTTCAATGTGAGTTTGTGGTTGAATGTTCGAGATGTAGGATGTAGGAAGTGGCTATGTGGGTGTGGTAGTATGGTATGTTTGGGATGGGGGTTAGTGTTTGTAATTCAAAGCTGATTGTGTGATGGAGAGAAGTCAGATTATGTTAGGTTCATCTGTAGTAGGTAGGCAAGCAGGTTTTGTATGGGATATTGTTAAGGTAGAACTGACATCAAAATTCAGTGTCTGGCATTAATTGGTCATTTACATACATCAAGTTCGAGCTACTAAACACTCATCCAATCTGTATCTGCCAATGTACATTAAATATCACCCAATACCATCCACCACCATTCTCGTACTACCCACCCCGATTCCTGCGTCGCCACACCCACCCCCTCCAACCACTCCAACAGCAGCTGCACCTCCCACTCGCCCATCGTCGGCTTCAACATCCCCGCTATCACACTGGCATCAATCCTCGGCCGCGTCGCCACGCATCCCACGACCGCCGCCAACGCCATGTCCCACAGCACCCGGACAAACGACCCGTGGATGTCGTACCACAGGGGTATCTTCGCTGGCAGCTGCGTGGCCGCATCGACACCCTGCGGACGCGGTGCCACAAGGCTTTGTAGCTTCTCTTGGATAGGGTTGCCATAGACGTACGATTTGGCCGGTCGCACCTCTATCGAGAATCGCAGCTTGTCCTTGTCGATCTGCCGCGTCAGGTAGCCCCCGTCCGTTAGTCCGTACTTCTCGCGCGGCACATCGCGCGGGTGAAGCACCACACGACCCGTGGCAAACAGGTTGATCACTACAAGCATGTCGCCGTCTTCGGCGTTGTAGTCGATGTCCATGTATCCTTGCTTGCGCAGTGTCGGGTCCAGGATCTCGGTCTTGAATCGCTGCGCTCGCCGCAGCTCCGTACTTTCGATGACGCGTCGCCGGCCCAGTGCCAATAGGAAGTATTCTGTCACGTCGTAATTTCGGCCTGGGGTAATGCGGCCTCTGTTGCCCATGGAGAGTGCTCGTTCTGTTACGAGAGACTGCAATGCCTGCTGCACCACATGCTCTCCGAACATCTCCAGCGCCTGTCGCGCCTCGGCTGGGCGGTACTTTTCCTCTGGTGTCACCACGTTGGCTCGCACCCAGGTCTTGACCACTTCCAAGCGGGACAGCTCCGCTCTCCGCGGCTGAGGCCGGTTGTATTTCTCCGGCAGAGGAGCAGCGAATGGGACACCAGCGATCAGGGCGCGCTTGCGGCCCACGGTTATCGACTGGTTGGTTTGGTACAGTTCATCGATTGGTACGAGCGCCTCCTCCCTTAGTTCAAAGACACTGTCAAACTGTTCTCGCGTTGCAGGTAGATCGGGGAGCTTCTCGGACTTGGGGGCATCTAGTTTCGTGTTCGCCCACTCAATAACTCTCTTCCAGTCATACCCTTCTAGGTTGTCGTAGTCAATGGGAGGAACCTCGTTATTAGCATACGCCTCGATGAACCTTTCTTGGAAATCGCCTTGCAACTTGGCGATCTGCAGGCGATATTTCCCAAGTATTCCTCTAGCTCGGTGAATAACAAAGGCTGGATCCAAGTCCGGAAAGCAGCAGCAAAGAAGTGACCAATCAACCAGACGAGCATCGGAACCTCCAGCTAAACTGCGCACAGCAACAATTGCGGCTATGAACTGCTGGACTAGTGTCCGTGGCATCTGCGAGACAAGACGGCTCCGGCGTAATGGCTGGCGCGAGACGGGTTGAGCCGTAGCAGGCTTATTTCCGTCAGAAGCAATGCTCTCATTCAACTTGGTAAGACGACGATGCCCAGGCTCGGTAGCAGTCTCGGACCGTCTTCGCCGCGATTGTGAAGTTTGACGTTCCAGACGCGCCTTATGTCGAGTAATCATGGGTGTCACTTCTGTAGCTGCGTCTCCAGTCTGCTCGTCGACATCGAACCGGATATCGCCTTCGATACCAGGAGTCTCCATGTTTTGAACAGTCTGGTTGATGTAGAACAGATCCGCGCTCTTTCGACGGAGCAAATCCTCGTGGCTGAGCTCCCACTTGAGAATAGTATTGTTATCCCGGAAGAACTGGCGTGATCGTGGGTCAGCGTCTCCAGTGTCGTCCATGACTCGTCTCCGCGTCTGGCTGAACAGATCATCAAGGGAATGCGGTAGGTCGTGGGTTTTCTTTCTTCCAGCCGCTTTCGCGCGGTCTCTTGCAGCTTGTATAGCCGGAATTCCAGCTTCTGTACCAAAAGTTCCAGTGGTGGCATGGAACGTCGGCTTCGTATTCATGAGCATCGCGTGGGGTGCTATAGTAGACCACAGTCGCCTCATCTTGCGCAGTGAAGCCAGCCCTGCCTCCACCTGCTGTCTTTGACCTCGTCTGGGCCCATCGCCCGCACGCCCCGGTCGGGAGATAGATGTCAATGCGCGTGGATCATCTTGGTCACCGCGACGACTCAGAGTCATGAGTCGCACGATCTCTGCACCGTCTGCTGTCTCATACTCCTCTCCCATACTCAAATGTTGCAACAGTTCGCTACGCAGCATATGGCGTCGGCGCTTTTCCACGGCGCGAACCATTGCCGGCTTTTGGTGCAGCTGTACGGTAATGCCCCGTTCCACCGGGAGCTGGGAGAGTAGTTTCTCATCTCTGCGTGGCGTACCCCGATTGCCATTCTTTGAGATCTCTGGGTCAATCTCAACATTAGGAGGGAAATAGTACCGATCTGTGGCCAGCATTTCCTTTTGCATATCCAGAATCAGGGGGTCGTCGGGCTTCATGTCCGCCTTATAGATGATCTTCTTTGTTACCATGACACCCTTCCGGTCTCGCCCACTGAAAGTCAACTGCCGGACCTTGCCGGCATCAACCATGATTTTGACGACCGATCTGATTGTGCGCAGATCTGGTATTTCCTTATGTCTCTTCTTTTGCCAGGCTGTCATGAATGGATACCAGATTTCTGTGCCCATAGGATACGCGCCGCCAGCTTGTTCAAGGATATCCAGGACAATCGACCTCCGAAGGACAGCGACGGAACCACCTTTCTCTGCAAATATTCTTCGCTTTCTACCAGATGGCTCAGGTGCTTCTGGGGCACTCTTCTTCTGTTCTGTCGTTTCGGGCGCAGCTGGTTCAGCCAAGCTTTGTTGAGTCATGTCGTTTGTCGTAGCGATTTCTGAAGATTCGTTGGTAACGGTACCTCTCTCCGATGGCCTTTCCGCCGCTGAAGCCTCAGGCTCATCTTCAACGGCATCATTGCCTTTTCCGGTTTCAGCGGTCGACTCGGTGGTTGTACCTTTCCTGTCCCGTAAGGCTTGTCCAGAGCGAGCCCGTTTGAAAAAGGTTTCTATATCCCCATTGCGAGTGGCGGATCGGCCGCTGCTCCGCGGGAGTTTCCGAGATGAAACGTTATCCAATACAGAGCCGTCGTCTGTCTGCGAGGGACCTTCTTCTGTGAGCATAGGCGACACTGCTCTTTTTCTTTTAGTTCGTCTCAAAGGCGACGTCTGTGTCGCTTCAGGTTCACGCTCGAGCGGTTCTGCAGTCGGCGAACCATTTTGCGAATCCCCATTGACTTCCTCAACACGCCGGTGCTTTGGCGCATTTTCACCCTCCAATCCATATTCGGTATCTGACCCATCCTGACGCAATCTCTTCGAGCCTCTAACAGAAAGAGCTGGAGAAGTGAATTGGGGTGGGAGACCATCGTCAACTGCAGGAGAGGATTGAGTCCGTCCGCTGGCCTGCAAACGAGTCTTCCTGGATACAAGCACAGACTCGTCATCTGGCTCGGCTGTGTCTTTCTGGAACCAAGGCAAAGTTGCCAACTTTGGTGTCTTGAACACAGCGATCCGACTGATTTTTGGCCGCCCTTGCCTCTTGCCTGCCGGTCGCCGACGTCCACGAGTAGTAACGTACACACCCGGCCCGGTGCGTTCTATGAGCAAGACGCTGTACTCCGTCCAAGTCTCATCCAGTCCAAGAGCCTCGAGCTTCTCCTTTTCAGACATGCCCCGGAATACTTCAGGATCAAGTTGCGACTTCCTTGGGCGGCTTTTGACCGGTTTCACAGAAGGCACATCAGCCATCTCTGTATCAGAGCCCTCCTGACCTTCTATCTTCACCCTAACCGGCGTGGCATAAGGCTGCGCAGTTGAGTCACCAGAACCGCGAATACGTTGATGGATCGTGTATGTTCCATCCTCCCGGCGTGCCGCTACGGCATCGCTGCCTGAAAATACGTAGTTTGCCGGTTTAACTACCGAGATACACTCCAGCAGTGTAACGTTCCCATCCTTGCATAATTCCTTCTTTAACACAGCGAGGGTGAGCCCATGAGCATCAAGTTGGGGAGCGGCATCAACAGGATGAATGTGTGCGCTAATTGACTTCGCTTTTTTCGGAGAGAACTCAACCGCCTCCCACAGCGCCTCCCCTGCATCGACCAGCTGCTTGAAGTTCATTGCAGTATAATGGACATAATGAGTGATAGTGCGCTGAAGCGCCGTATCTCTCACAATAGCCAGATGGCGCAGGTGCAGAGGTTGGGATAGCTGCCAACATTCTACGAGACGACTCACTGCGTTCTCCAAAGGTCGTCTGAAGTAGCCGCCAAAACAGGCTCTCAGGATTCCCTGATAGCTTCAGTAAACGTTGGCTGTCACAGTAGTATGCCAGGTGCTTACCTGATTGGTGATACCATCAGTTCCTGTTCGATCAACAATCTCAAAGATCTGATTGTGAATGCTCCTGTCTGGGGACCAAGAAGGGAGAATCCGACCAGCCTCTTCTACTGCTTCACGCTTCACTAGACCGACCGTGCCGTTGCTGTTTGGCTGTAAGGGGCTCTGTGATGTGCCATCTTGCTCCATATCATCCTCAATGTCGAGATTATCTTCCTGTTCTAGATTGGAAAGTATGCCGCGACTGAATTCGTTAAATAGTTCGAAGTCTCTCTCCGTTGGTTCTCTTATAAGCATGACGCAAGGGTGGAACTTTTTCAGAGTGTCGGCATACTGAGACAAAGCTCGAACACGTTTAAGAACGCCAATACGTTCAAACTTTCGAAGCGCACGGGATAAGATCCTCCAGCGCCAGTGATCTTGAAACCCAAGCTTCTGCTTCAAGTCATTGCGAGAAATGATCTGATATTCCTGGAGGATTTGGAAAAGCTGATCAAGAAACTCTTTGAAATCGATCATGTTCTCCTGCTTGGTCGCATCTGCATCCTGCCCAGAGTCCCTGTCTACAGGGGCATGCTCTGGTGTCAAGAACTTGCGCAAAGTACAAAGGCTGGTACGAGTAGACTTGACTTGAATGGCGCGTTTCTCGATGTAGCCCTTTTGCTGCAGAACATCCGTACGCTTCGGCACGGAACGTTTGTCCTGGCCACTGACTCTGACTAGTTCTGTCTGCGCAATGCCGTTGTGCTTGCGCGATGCAATAATAGAGAGAAGAGCGAATTCCGTGGGGAACACCTTGGTTTCATCCGGTCCGTGACCAGCCACTGCGAGCCAGGTTCGCTCTTTGGACACAAACACCCGGGCCGAGTCCGATGCCCCGATGACGGCTTGGTCTGTCTCCGCATTGGTTTGACCACGCTCGGCATCCCGGAGGCTGAGGTGATTGCCTTCTCTGTCTTTGCCAACTGATACCTCTGGGTTCTTCATTAGCCAGGACCAGACCTTCTCCTGGAACCGGCGGTCCACGTTGTGCGCACGGCCAGCTGCATCTTGCGCCGCCTTGGCATAGAAAGTATCAATAAAGGTTAGTATATCGGCAGGAGAAGCTCCTGAACGAGGTTAGTTGACTAGCCATAATAGTACTAAAACCAATGCAATCATAGGCGATAAAGTTTATGCAGGTATCCAAAGGCAAGGTTCGCCGTTGAAAAGACCCGAGCTGGATGTTACCTCATGGTCCAATCAGACGGATGGCGCATGCAGGGGTTGGCCATGTCGGTGGGGATTTTTCGAGACCGTCACGACCGGAGGAAAAAGAAAAAGACGAGCGAGCAACTGACCTTGATCACCGCAGAGGGCAATCTCCGCAAGGAGAAAATCAATCAAATCCCGTAGACTCGGGGCCATCTTTGGCCATGTCAGCGTCCAGACTGTCTCATGCAAATTTCGACCAACACGAATTGACGTCAATCCATCTCCCAGACAACGGGTTGGGGAGCAGAAAATGAAGGAAGATGTAGAGGCAGAGACGCGATTCGAACCAGCGTCGCGGAGGAAATGCGAGGTGAAGCCCGAACATACCGCGGGGGTGGCGGACAGCTGTCACGTGAAACAGATGCAACACATATTATGTAATTTACTACAATATCTGATGCATAGTTAGATTATGCTCTCCAAGTGACTGAAGATAACGATTCACAAGTGAGACTTCTGATGTCAAAAAGGGATCCTATTCATATTAATTAGAATCTATCAGTGTTACCGCACTTTCTTAGTCAGTAACACATCAGCCGGGCCTAGACGGACTAGGAGTGGGTAGACATGAAGGGGTGTATGTATCACAAGGCATCACTAAGCTCATGAACATCAAAATGGGCCAAATCTAAAGACTTCTGCCATGCAACATGGTTGTGTTCAAGTTGAAATCCTACGCTGGAGAGCTTCAGTTCAAGAAGATCAGTCCAGTCGTAACGGGAATCGTCCGATGACCTTACAGATTTCCTGAGACCCAATCTCCCAGACGGCGGATGAGAAACCTGCCTGGTATGAGGCCATCAGCTGTCTTCTCTAATGAGCTGAAGTTAGTAGCTTCGAGAAGATAGTATTGCCCATTACTCTCTCTCCAGCTAGCAACAGTTACCTCAAGAACTCCATCTGTGGACTTCTTGCATATATCCTTTGAGCCCATTTAGTATGTACCAAGGCACAGTTCTGAGACAGATAGCTCAATTCGAGGGAAGGCTTGCTACAATCACTAGATTAGCACAATAATCTCGCAACTAGATAACGGTTGCTCTCACAAGAACATCATCTTCTACTGGCTCAATAGATTCCAAGAAGCTGGATAGATGGGAATAAATAGAAGAGCTGATGGAAGTTGGATACTGGGATAGTAAGGAGATGCAGTGCAGTCAACGTCACTATAATGACGAAAATTCGATATGCACCTCCCTTCATTGCCAAAGTAGTGTGTGGAGAAACTGGCAACCAGCGTCAGCTAGTCAGTAAGTGAAATTATCACCATCAACTGAGAGAAGCATTACAGCAGAGATGCCGTGCTACATGCATCATTCAGTGGTACGGCCCGAGCTACCCTGAAATCGGGACGGGGAGCAAGTGGAGACACGGTCGGGAGTGGATCAAGAGACCCTTTAGATGGATACTCCATAAGTATTTGACGTGCAAAGCAAACTGCAACTGCTAGGATTGATGATCACCGGCTATTCTGTTTGGAGTAACCCCGGCACATTCCGAGTCTGTCCTTCCAGATTCGGTCAGTGCCGCCTCAAAGAGGGAAATGGAATGGGTCAGCTGACTCTCCCACTTTGTACAAAGTAGTTTTTAAGTTATTCTTCTGGAATCATGTTATGCACATCCACCAAGGGCATAACCAACTCAACTTAAGTCGATTTTATATCAAAGCTCCCTCATAATCTTCTCCACTGCTGCTGTGGAAGCCATTTTAATGTACGAAATGTATGGATGATACTATTTTCCTTCCGTCGCTTGGATGCCTGTTCCATTCCCTGCAACCGCTTGGTTCACGCTTCTGCGAGAGAGATAAGCATACCCCAGAACATCCTGTATGTACGGTATGTACGATGGTGCCCTCAGTCCTTGCAATATCTGAGGGTGAATAAACAAAGAAACAACGATGTCTCACTAATCCTGTGCAGAACCGGTCTGGAGCGCAGGATCGACAACTAGCAGCATGACATCACGGCCCGGTTACGTCAGGCATCACGGCCAAAACCAACCGATGCCGCCGATGGCAAAAACATTTCCACTGAAAGCCTTGGGCTCGTTTACGAGGCGTCCCTGCCGTCGTTTCCGGCCTTTCTGGCTTATCTCTCGTCAGTCAGATTGACTTCATCTGGGATTTCTCCTTCCTGTTCCTCCCATTCCCATCTCCGTCCTCTCCCGTCATGTCTTCCCTTGTCTCTCGAATACTATTACCCTAGACCCGGCCATTGCAGATTGCGTGAGATTGACAAATTAAACTTCGCCCACCCGCACTACGACTGCCAACTCGATGGACGAGGAATCGAGGCCTGCTGCGTGTCCTGAGCCTCCACCGCTCCCATACTCCTTGCGCTCGAGGAAGAAGTCCATCGCCATCTTCTGGACAATCTTCATGATTGATACTCTGGCCCAACCGCTCGTCCTCTACTGGGCGCTCTGGTACGCCACTGATCTTTCGCACAACCTGGGTACGTGGATATCTGCCTCTTTACCTTATTCATAAATCAGCTACTCATTCACTGTCCTATAGTATTCAGTATTGTAACGGCTTCGTTAGGAGGTGTATCGGTATTCGAATACTTTTATCGTCTCTACAACTTGTTCCGCAAAGACTCGCGAGCCCGTCCATTGAACGCTAGGAAGGGATGGGTACGCTCTCCATGGCTAAAACTTGTATAGAAGTGGGCGCTGACCGGATGTAGCTCGATTTCTTCCATATCAATTTCACCATCGTCTGGTTGATACTGGCGATTGAGCTAATTGTGTAGGTGCTGCCATCCATTTGTCCACGGACCAGACTAACAGCGCCACAGAGGAACCGTTCCTGAAGAACCATATGGTAAAACCTATCTCTTCGTCTTCTTTGTATCCTCGCTAACCCGCGTGGTCAATAGTCCGACTAGTTGCCATGGTCCTTCCGACGGTGATGTTTTACTTCGGCAGCATGTACCTGGCACTCGACATCCTTCGTGTTTGTGGTGTTAAAGCGCCTTTTCGGATTTCATCAACGCCCAAAGGCTCGACAATGCCGACCGCCCTATATGTTTTGATCGAGGATGTAGTGGCAGTTGATGGGGGTGGTGGTCAGATTTACCGATATGCGCTTCGCACCCGATATCTATCTAGCCCGTACTTCCGGCGTATGCTGTTCCAGATGAACTGTTTCTGGGCTGGGGGATCTATCGTTGTCGCTGCCGCCATAACGGCAATCATATTTACTGTTTCAGAGCCAGTTGCATACACTGTGAGTGAACTTCCAGCAACTAAAGTACTTGGTACTAAGTGATGTGTAGCTAGGATGGTCGTTGCCGTTCGCATGGGCTGGCCTCTGGACGTTGGTCACGATACCTTGGGTCCAAAGCGATCTTCGGCGCGAGAAAAAGGCTTGGGCAGAAAACCGGGGCCAGGGAGGTATCCCGTACACCGATGACCCTGATGCGCCCAGTGGTGGTCGGACCAGGCTTGAGGCGATGCAGGATCATCTGCCAAGTTTCGTGCCTTGGTTCCGAGAAAAGCAGGCTCCCCCGTCTACACCGAGTGATCATTGAGGTATGCCAAGTGACCGCAGAGCCTTACCAGCCGTGACGCTACCAGACCGCTGAGTGATGAGATAAGAAATTTTGAAGAAAATTTTGATGATGGAATGTTTATGACGGCTTGAGCCACTGTACTATATACACCGATACCCTGCTTGTTCCTACTTTCATACATGATCTGGTTATGCTTTCTGGCCTTTGTTTGAAGACTGCATAGCCATCACACACTCCTTGATCCTGTCGATAACAACATGTCTCCCAGGGTTGTTGATTTCGCATTGGCATCACTTCTGCAGCTAGCATAGATAGATATGATACTTCGTACCAATTCATCTAAGCACTCTGCATCTCGATGCGCTCACAGCAGGTGTGCAAAGGCGCTGGTGTGCAATGGGTTTTGCAATATTTCTCCTAGGAGTATGCATGGCACCGTCTGGGTATATGCTCCACATGGTAGTCCATCCAGGTATCCCATTATACCGCATGAGCAGCAGCAGTATCATCCGCTGCGCACAACTGGGCGTTCCTTCAAGCGGGGCTGCGCAATACCAGCGTCCGCACTGATAGTAGGGCGCGAACCTCAGCATCAAAGACATCACAGTCCGCTTCCACTCAAGAGTCTCAGCGGCAGACGATACTCAGCACCGCTATATTCTCAACACTGAATATTCTCCCGGGACCCCTCAAGTCGACGGTCTCAACGCATAAAACCTCACAGGCAAGAGCTTAAAATTCTTCGGGAACCCCAACTGCAACTCCGACGCAAGAAGCACCAACCCAGCCTCTTTAAACAGCGTCCGAAGCTTCTCATCTGTCCTCGTCACACTACTATCCTCCTCATCAAACATATCCAACCCAATCGGATCGGTGGACTGATTCTCCTTCACGATCATAATCCCTGTCTCCGTCAACGCCTCCCGACATCGAACAAAGTACTCCCTCAACTGCACATCCGTAAGATGTCCCACGCAGAACTGCGTCCAGATCAAATCGTACTTGTTCTTCTCAGGATACCAATTCTCCAGACCCATTGTATAGATATCCCCGACAACACCCGTGCGCTTCAGCTCCGAGTTCCGAATCACCTCGGTGAACTTCTCAATGGGCTCGACGGCATCGACGCGCTCGCAGACCTGGCTGAGGAGACCCTCGGTGACGCGACCCACGCCCGCGCCGCAGTCCACACCGAGCGGGAGCTTCCCCTCCGTCGGGCAATTGGGAATCATGCGACGGACCTTGCCAAGGAAGGTCTTGGAGCCTCGGAGATCGATACGCGTGTACCATGGGTACGAGCCTAGCATGCCCAGCATGGTCTTTGTGTTGGCGGCGACGGAGTTCCAGTAGCGGAGGGAGGCGGCATGATCGATGTGCGAGTCGGGCGGGGCATCGCTGGGGGTGGACATGGTATGTGTTGCTGCTGTCAGCAGTAGTGTAGCGCAGCGCAGCGCGGTGCAGCTCTATTAGCAAGCTTCAAGTAAGTAAATGAGTGAGGAAACTCCTGCAAGGGATGTATCCCACCCGATGTGATGTTGTTGATGCGGGATAAAATTTCCCTTATCGATCGGCTTATCTAATCGGTGCAGAACTACACCAATCGATCATCCACGATTCCTATCGGAGTCAAGCGTCAACAGATCTCAACGGCGTGGTCCAGTAGCGCAGAATTCAAGATAGAATATGGATGATTCACCTGGCGATGAGCATATTGCGTTCATGCAATGGGCTGAGGCGTCGGGGATCAAAATAAAGGGCGTCACCCCGGCACGATTCCCCGGCCGACGGTTGGGGATGAAGGCGACGCGAACAATAAAAGTAGGCTGCTGAATCCTGTACTCCTAGACCTAGGGATGAGATACTATGGTGCATTGCTAATTTATATAGAACAATGAGATCATGCTCACCATTCCTGTGGATTTAATGCTGACTATCGACTCTATCCCATCATCATTCACATCGCAATTTCCTGCTGGGACATCAATACATGGGATAATGGCTGCTTTTCTCACACACGGCGATCCAGCTCTTCTGAAGAATTTAGATGCTTGGCGGAGAGTATGGCCCTCGTTTGATGAGTTTGAAGATAGCATGCCGGTCCTTTGGCCCGCGCATCTTCGGGTATCGAATTCGAGCTACGAAGCCAACGCCAACCCTTCCTCAGCAGAAAAACAAGATCAAGATCAAGATAAGGGGAAAGTCCTCCTCCCACCCTCCATCTCTGGAGAATGGAACACCTTCTCCAAAGTTCCGGTAGGCGTAGACTACGACACACGATATCAAAACCTACTCAGCCAACAAGAAAAGCGCCTGAAAGATGCCTGGGCGAATGTCTTGAAAGTGTACCCGGAGACTGAGTGGAAGACGTTCGCTTATTACTGGTGCATTATCAATTCGAGGAGCTTTTATTATGTCTCTCCTGGGAAAGACGAGCCAGAGGATTGGAATGATGCGATTGGAATGGTGCCGTTTGCGGATTACTGTAATCATGTTGATGATGCGGTGGGTTTATCCCTTGTCTATACACCTTCTGGATAAGAGTGTATGTATTGACAATATGCAGGCATGCGATGTCAATTTTGACGGAAAGAAGTATACTTTCCGAGCAACGCGGCGATACGGTATACCCTTTCCCCTTTCCCAATCTTTATGAGCGCAGAGACTAACATCATCCAGAGAAGGGCGAAGAGGTCTACATGAGCTATGGCAACCACTCGAACGACTTTCTTCTAGTTGAATGTCAGTATATAGCCATTCTCACAAATCTCAATCTCTCAATCTCAGTTCATTTAACTAACAAAGAAAGATGGCTTCACCCTCCCCACCAACCCATCCGACAGCATCTACCTCGACGACATAATCTTCCAGGATCTAAGCATATCCCAGAAACAGGAATTAGCTAAACAGGAGATCTTTGGGTGAGACATCCCCACATTAACCTTCAAACGCAACTGCATTCCCGACCCAGATGCACACACAACACTGACACCGTATACTAAAACTAACAGCAACTACACCCTCTCCCACCCCCTCATCCAGGAAACACCCCTCCACTACGCCGCATGTCTAAAATACATGAATCTCCGGGAGTGGCGCGCCTACGTAAACGGACGCTCAGAACGGGGCGTCGACGCGCAGAAGACCGCGAGCGTAATACGAGGCTGGGTGGAGGTATATCTGAAAGAGTGCATCGGGACAATGGACATTATTGCGAATAAGCTTGGAGATCTAGGAGAGGAGAACGGAGATAGTGATAAGGGAATAGGATCAAAAGCATGGGGAAGAGAGAAGTTACAAATGTTGCTGGATAGATGGGGACAGATCAGACGGATATGTGAGGGCGTCCTTGAAGAATTGGAATAGTCTGCATATTACAGCTGCATTGGGGCAGTCATTTTCAGATTAATACCACCATGATATACTCTGCATTGCACTCTTACATACACTTGAAGAAGAAAAGAAATCGATCATATCGATATTTGCATCACTGAATCCTTACTGATTCTGTGCTTTGTTCATGTCCTCCAGCCAGCGACGCTATAAAATCTCAAGTTACACAGAGCCTGTTCGGTTACCACCAAACCAATTTAAAATCCACTTTGTACTACAGCATGGAACAATCAATTCCTGGTAAGCATACAGAACGGAACATAAGACTACGTACGATACCAGTGCCTCGAACCGACACGAAAATAAATGAGAACCGATGCTAGACCAACTCCTGGAGAAATCCGCGTGCAAATATAGTTTCTTTATCTGACCTGGGAACAGTCTTCTCTCTCTCTACCATACTACTTAACTAAACGGCTCATCCCAATGATCAAAACAACATGAGCCCACCTCTAAACTACATGAATGGCAATCCCCAACATCATCACGCAACATCCCAACTACTAAAACCCATATACTAACAAAACCTTAGAACATTCCCCTCGACCCACCCACCGCCTCCTACTTATACATCCCTCTCTCCCCATTCCCACACATTTACTTTAGCCTACTACTACATATACTAACAACATCCATTGACATCAGCACTACCATCACCATCCTCTCAGGAACAACATGTGCTCTCACAAAGTATACACCTACATGGAATGCGACCATCTGGGCAGTGATGGTCTTGACCGATGTTGGGAAGCTACGCAAAGGAATCAGAGTTGTCCGCGGACAAATTGGGATAGTCGCCATGCTGGCGCTCGGCCAGGGAAATGTCATGCTTGTTTGAAGATTACTCCGTCGGGTTCGACGGCATCGGGGTGATTGATGGAATCTATGATTTCTTGTCTGTGCAAGTTGTGTGTGATCTCTAAAGTAAGCATAGTGGCTAGTAAAGATTAATGTGTTGCGCCTCTTTTCTGTCATGTCTTGTCTTATCCTATCATACACGGTTCATATATGTTATGTCCACTGCGTGTGCCAAAATAACAACGAGAGCTCCTTTATTCCGTAGCCTTTCTACATACAATATACACCAACAACACAGATCAAGAGGAATAGCAAGTGTCAAACAGCGCCACTCGCTATTAAAATTAATGTATTCCACACAAAAACCAAATATAATTAACTTTACACAAGAAGTGAAGTAAATCACACTATACCCCTGGAACACCTGGAGACATCGACAACTCGCCGATGGAAACAGGAAACCAAAAGCGTTGACGCCTATATACGACCCACTGCGCTGGGGGTATCACACGGCAAATGCGAGGCCAGTAATGTGCAGATAACAAATGACGGATTATAATAGAAATGTATGATGCAAAAAGCCAGCGGTGAGGCAGCCAGCTTATGAGAGCGATGTGGGCTCATTTTCGAGAAGGTATCAATTTCCGGCCAAAATTGCGGATTGATGTCTTGTGACTAGTCCTATTGAACATTAGCCTGAATACCATAGGGCTAGCTCAGGAATTACATACGTTTCTTCCGGCTCGTCCCAGGTCTTGATTGTCTGTGACCTGGGCATGGCATTGCCAGAAGTCATAGGTCGAGTGGGAGGGTTGACGATTCGGCGTGATTGCTAAAAGCTGATTAGCGGGGTCCATTCACATCTGTCTTACACAACATACCTCCCAGCGGGCATCCACGTCAACCTCGCTCGCAGAGCGAGAGTCCGGTATCACCCCGCTTGGCTCGTGGAGCATACTCGATCCCAGAGAGTTGGATCGCACAAGCGGAGAAGTGCCTGTGCCAGACTTCCCAGAGCGTTGAGACTCTGAATATTCGCTGTTCGAATCTGCGCTGGCCATGCTATGGGCGTTATCGGACGCATTCACCGCGGTATCGGAGTAGTGTACGAGCTGGGTTGAGCTGGCCAGCTCCCGGTATCGTTTCTGCTGCTGCTTTGAAGGCCGGTGGTGTGAGAACTTGTTTCCAAGGATGGCGGGTGCATGCGAGATTAGAGCCTTGATGACATCCTTCTTCAGTCGCAAGGCCAAATCAAGGTTCGACCATGTTTTGTTACGGTACTCTAGGACAGGCAACCGGAAAACAAAGTCGTGGAGATCCTCTATGTTGTGCTCTCCCTTGCCTTTGTAGCTCAGACACAACACCACATCATGCACCTTGACGTGGGCAAGCGTCATGTAGTTTGACGCGCGGGACATCATCTGGGACAGGTCATCAGGTGTCTCCTTCTTGCCCTTGTTCGGTAGTCTTCCTAGTGCGAACTTCTTTTTCTCTTCGTTATTTCCTGAACCGCCTGATGTGTTAGCGACGGATTTCTCAGTGGGCTGCCTAGACAATATGCGCAGACTGTCCACTGATCTCTTCTTTGTCAAACCGCCACTCGTTGAAGGTCGGATGTGGTTCTTGTCCTTATTGTCCTTATGGAGAGGGGTCATGGCAAGACCTCTGAGCTGCCGGTGTTGAGACTTCGGTCTGGCTTCTTCCGATAGCGACAGCGTTGGTTGCAGCCTCAGCTCAATTGCTCCTGGACCCTTCAGCTGCAGATCGTCGGTTGAAAGATCACTGTTATCATGGTGTGCACGAGCCGTCGGGCTTTCCTCCTCATCAGAATCAGATGAATCATCAAGTGGCTTCATGTTTTTGATCATGAAGGGTGAAAATCCACCATTCTCGAATGCAGTAGATCCGACGTTGGGGAACATGTACTCGAATACCTTTTGGCCAAGTTCCCGCTCCAACTGAACCTTGAGAGGGAAGAGGGACACCTCAAAATCATCCAAGACAGGAATACCGGCAACTGCCTCCAACATATGCCACTTCACCTTGATCATGCAATCATCAGGGCCGTTGAGGCCACGGGCCTGGTCGAGATAAGGCACGATGATCTGAGGATAGATGGCATCTGGAAGTAGGTTCAGACCATACAATCGTTCGACTGCAACTAGGTTATGGTTCGAGCCATCGCTGTTGTCCGTGCGGTCATATTCAGCATTCCTGAGTTGGAACTCAACCAGCGGCTCCGTCTGGTCCTTCATCAGATGCCAAACCACCTCGCTGGCAGAAATATTCCAGCGAAGGACCCCTTGTGTCTTCGACATATTCGGGTCGATCTTCCTCTGAGAGGAGGTAATAGCTTTCATCAGGAAGAACAGCTCATCCTCACATTGAGTCAGATCTTTCTCCAGCACCAGCCGGTCTTCCCAGCCTTGCTTATCTAAGTACTTGGCATGGATCTGGAAATGCTCCTTGATCTCTTCCAGCTGTCGGATGCGAGACTGGAGCTTGAAAACCATCTCCGGTGCACCTCTCAGATCACTGAAATCGGATGTGAGCATGATCCTCTCCAAGCGCTCGTTACGGACCTTCTCAAGAGGCTCGCTATAAAGGAGAAGATCAAGAATGATGATGTACATAGAGTAGTACTCGGCGGAGTCGCAAATGGCACGGAAGTGAGGAAAGTCGACGCTAATATGGTCCATCCTCGGTTCCGTATCATGCACACTATACTGTTGGTCTGCCTGGCCTTTCGCCACCTCCTCATTGTACTTCAGGCGGAGGTTGTTGTACTTGTCGTACCGCAGACTAGCCGAAGTCTTCTGTATGATCCTTGAAAAGCCGAACGGGTTCAGTTCGAAATCGAACAGTGCCTCAAGGTTCAGCCAAGGTGGCCATGCGGAGCCCGGAGGATTACCATATTTGTTGCCAGCATAAAATGCTAAATGATTCATCAGGCTTTTTTGCGTAGCCACAAAGAACTGGGCTCCGTCCATGCAAAGAGAAAAGCGACGCTGCACGAGACCACTGACGTCGTCGGACACCCGCTCCTTGTCCATAATAGACACGACTTGAAGCTGCATGCCTTTCGCGGCGACTACCAGCACAGACTTTTGGTTCTTCTCACTCTGCAACTGGATCTGCGGAGCAATGAGTCGCAGATGGTAGCTGTTCTGAGGTGTGAACTCCGGTGCGATGTTTTCGCTGAAGCCATCAGACTTGGGGGCGCTATGTCTCCTTTGGTCGGATTGATGCTCTTGCTCTTCTGCATTCACGTAGCGCTTTGCATCACTCAACAATTGTTCGATCCGATCCTCGATACTATCATCATCCTCGCTGTCGACAAGTCCGCCAGCATCCGATGGGCGTCTTGAGGCAGTCCGGAACAGTTTAGAATGCTTTTGCTTGTTCTTGTTTTGTTCATCGACGATATCGAGGATGAACTTGACAGCTCTCCGAGACATGTAATACACGAATCCCCGGCGCTGGCTGACTTGATGGATATAGCGCAGGATGATGTTTCTTAGAGAATTGTTCCATTTCAGCTGGATATTGTGGATGATGAATCTGTTGTTGAAGTCACTTGCCAGATCATCGTCAGGGGTGGAGTATAATCCATCCATATCAGCCTCCTTGCCATCATTCGTTGAGTCGGAGTCTGTTCCCATCCGGGAAGCGCTGTCTTGGACGAAAGCTTCGGGGTTCCTTTCCGTGGGGAGTTTTTCTTCCCGCGCAAGCTGCCTCTCGATTCGCTGGAGCCCGGCAGTGAGGAAAGTCCGTCTTCGGTGCAACGTTTCTGCCTGTTTAAGGTAGTCGTTATGCTGACTCCTGAGTGCGGGGTCGGGATCGATCTCTTTGGCAAGACGGAGTTCCTGCTCGCCGATAGTACGACTACAGTCGCGAGTCTGCGCCTCGACGGCAGCAAGTCGGTCTCGGATGAGCTCCATTTGTACCCGACGAGGTTCATTGTTCTCCGACATGACGCATTCATGGGTGGGCTCATCACCGAAGGTGCTATACCCTGTCTCGTCAGGCGCGGTTTGGCCGTGGTCTGTTTGCCGGAAATAGGTAAACCGTGGTGTAAACGCCAAAGGCAGGATCTGTGTGCGCGGGTTTGATTCTTGGGGCAATATCCAATCCAACTCCACGAAATCATCCATGTCTATCCAATCAAGATTCTGGTCGGGTATAGTAAACCGAGACAGGTCAACAGAAGCCACAGGTT